TTTATTTATTATTTTTATTTTATGTGTATGCGTGTATTGCCTGCATGTAGGTAAGTGCACCCATGTTGTGCAATGCCTGTGGAGGACAGAAAAGGCTGTCTGATCCCCTGGAACTGGAATTACGGAAAGTTGTTAGCTGCCATGTGGGTGCTGGGATTCGAACCCGGGTCTTCTGCAAGAACAGTCGGTGTTCTTAATCACTAAGCCATCTCTCCAGCCCCCCAGACTTTATTCTTTACGCATCAGGAGAGCATCTGACAGAGCCATGTGTCAGAGCTAGTGGAAAGAAAATAGTCTGGAGGATAAAGCCTACAAGAGGGACCTCTAAAGAGGCTGCAGGGAATGAAACCTCTACAGACCTTCCTTGTTCTCTTCATGAACTGTGGTCCCACTGTGGGCTCCATCCAGTTTTCAAGTAAGGGGGATAAGCTAACAGAACAAGCAGGCAAGGCCCCCTCCTTCTCTACTAGGGATAAAGAGATAATTTTAGAAGTCAATAAGTAAACAGAACTCATAAATAAGACTGTGAGCAGTACAAAGTCATAAACCTAAGGGGTTCGAAAAGAGGCCGGTGGGAAGGGCTTCTTTAAATTTTTGTGTGGGGGGAGTGGAAATGCAGAGGAAAGAGACATCTGTAGGGTAGGAATGGGAATCAAAGATCTGAGAAACTCTTAAAATCATGTTCAACATTTATTATGTACATGTATGTGTATTTTTCTACAAGACTCCCAAAGGGACAGAGGATCTCAGCCCTCTAGATATTAAAGGGCCAGTGTATTTCAATGCCAATTGAAGCCCTTTGGGATCTGAATTTAGAGCCTACTGTTCAACCTAACAGAACAGTATTATCAGCAAATGATTCAAAAGTTTCTCCTCAAATGTCAAAACTTTATTATAAATAACAATGACATTTTAGTAGTCATTTACTTGTAGAATTACTTTTATTTAGAATTCTCCCTATATCAGACTATTCATTTATATCAGATATAATTTACATATATAATTCATTCCTCTCTTCTTCCCCCAGTTAATTTATGGAGCTGGCAAGAGATATTCACTGGTACAAAACTGGGCTCTCAAAATCCAAATGTATCCCAGGCAGAAAAAAAAAAAAATCAACTTTTGTTCTTCCTATTCTAAGACTGACCAGTTGAAACTGACAAGGGTGGGCTTGCTCTCAGAGGAGATACTATTCTTCCATTTTAAGTATTTAATGTATTCTGCATTATAAGCTTAGATAAAATATCCGACATTTACCCAGTTTAGGATGTGTGAGGGAGGTAAAGCACCTGGCTTTACTTACAGAGTGGCGTAGAGGTCTGTGAGGCCAGGACCTGGGTACCTCAGGTTTACCAGCCACTGCTAAGAACCCTCACTCTCACCCCAGAAGACTAAGGGACCCCCAGCACAGCAAAGGCTAAGAAGGTCCAGAAGTCGCTAGGAAGCGAGGGCCCTGGGAAGGAAAGAGAGGAGGGAAGCTTGAGGGACGGCCCAGAAAGGGCCTACAAAGCCCCAGAAGTTTGGGGGAGGCTTGAGAAAGACCGAGAAAGCCCAAAGGAGATCTCAAAGTTTCCGAGGAGGGTAAGGAGGCCCGGGAACCTTGGAGAAGGTCTGGGAGGCCCGGGCCCAGGGAGGGCACCCTGCGAGGCCAGGCTGGATGGGCCGCGCCCAGAGACCGGGTGGGCAGTGATGCAGCGCCCCAGCCTGGCGTCCAGGTGACCCCAGGGGCTTCGCGGCCCTGCTGCAACGTGGAGCGGCCTCGGCCTGCTCTCCACGGTGGTTGCCCGGCGACGCGTCCAGCGGGGGACGTGCAGGGGGCCCGGGTGCGACCCCGCCGCGGTGACGGCCCGGGGCGCCCGCGGCTCGCAGCGCGCTGCTTCCTGTAGTCCTGCCGCAGGAAGGCCGAGGCCCAGCCGGCGCCCTCAGAGCTGTCTGCCCAGCACGCCGAGGGGCTTGCGCCGAGGGGCGGCGGAGTGGAAGACGACGCTGGCCAGGACCCCTGGGTCTTCGGCACGGAGGAGGAAGAGCGCGGCAACCTCGTGTCCCACCGGTGCCCTGGGCCAGAGCCGCATGGGCGGGAAAGGGCAGCTCCCCGGCAGCACCCACCTTCCCGCACACAGGACCCCAAGGCTCCAGTCCCGGGACTGTTTCCAAGCCCCTCTTCCGGGTGTGGTGACCGGTGTAGGAGCAGGTGCCTGCTGCCCTCCTCTGTGCCTCACACCCGAGGGACCCCCAGCAACGCCCCTTCTAAGCAGTCTGCTTTCTTCTGTATCCTTCCTGCCCACAGCCCAGCACATGAACAGCGGATGGACTAATGCCTGTTGGTTCACAAACCGCCTGAACTATTAAAAACCCCTTATTTTTCTGCAAGACACACCTTTCCCTCTAGCAAAGTGTAAATCATTAGCAAATCTATTGGTTATTACAGTGACTTGTGATTTTTTTCAATTAACCAGACCGCCATCCAGTGATTGCTTTATTATTTTATAGCATCCTAATATGTTTATCTCAAATGGTAGTTGGGATTTTAGACATCAATATAGTATGGTAGAGTAAGTATCTGGCTTCAGGGCCTTTTAGTGTGTCTGAAACATTTATGCCAGTCTTCCTTGACCTTCCCTGTATGTAAAGCTAGTCTTGTTTTCAAAGGGGGGCACTTTTTGTTTTGAATGATTAAAAGCAGCTTGGTCTTGGTTTTATAAGTTCTAGATAATTCACCATATTTTTTTTCAAGTTGTCTTGCATCTTTTTATCTTGCATCTCACTTCTGACTTTCATTTCCTAATATTTGGTCAATTAGATCTTACCATTTGCTTTTGTTTATGCCTTCCTCGTTTTTGTCTGGCTTGCACCTTGATTGATTTCTGTTTTTCTAAGCTTTTTGTCGGTGGTGTGGTGGTAGTGCTGCTGGGGTTAGAACCCAGGGTCTCTCACTACCACCGAGCTGCACTTCCAACCCCTCTAAGCACTTTTCTTCACATTCTTTAGATGGAGAGTCAAAACCCAGGCTTTCTTTACTATAGATGTTGAACCTTACCCATCTGCGTGTCTGTTCCACAACCTATATAGGATTTTAAGGAAACAGAAGAGCAGCTACAACAAAATGGGATGAAGAAATGGTGAGAACTGTGGCACCAGCCTACATATGTCAAGTGTCTCTCAGGAGGTATGGCCAATGCTCTTGAATTTGAGACTTTGGGCAGCAGCTCCTATCGAGTCTTACAGTGAAGATAATCTTGCTGCCTCCCCTTTGTGAGCAGTTTGTACAGAGCTTCTCCCTTAGCACATTTTAATATCAAGAGAAAAGAATTCAATGTTTTAACAAAGAGGAAGTTAGATTCTTTCCAAATCTCAGAAATATTTCTAATTGGAACTGGATTTCATTAAAGATGGTACTTTGTTCTCAGTCAGGCAGTGCTCTCCTTTTCTCCCACGTATTTGTGAAACATTAGTAAAGGGAGTTGGGATACCAAGAAAGTACAACCAAATCCCAACCCTTGAGAAATTTGCAGTCTAGCCTACTTGTGTTTGGTGGGCCAGCCTTTACCATGGCTTCTTGGTTATATTCATAACATTCTACAAACAGCTCAGTTGTCTCAGCTCCTCTTTCCCATTTTAATGCAAGGACTTTTTTTTCTCATATGTAACATTTCAGACACTACTGTTCCAGATACACATAGGAATACCACCCCCCACCCCAATGATTCTTAGGTAAAAACTAGATTCCATTTCTATCACCCCAGAGAGCAGAAATTGTTAATTTTGCTTTTCAAAATCCCCACAGAATGAATTTACCCAACTATCTGTGCTATCAGGGGTACCTCTCTGTGAGTAAATTAAATTCCCATGCTGTACTGAAGATTATTTCTCCTTCCACAGTATGCAGATGATGCCTTAAAATGTCTAACATTTAATTTGCTTTGAAATTCATTGACAAGTTTTTCTCAGAGAAACCTCATCACATCCCATTTTCCAGAAGAGTGCTATAACCCTGCAGTCATCTCATAGCACTCTGTTCAAATCTGGGACAAAATACTTAGTAGACATTGGTACTTTTTATTTTTGGCTTTCTTTGGTATATCTCCTGTGTTTCCTAACACCTGAAATCCATAGTGAGCTATGATGGATAAATTGGAAATTTTCTATGGTTGATGGAAAGATTTTACAAGCTATCAGCTCTGGCACTCAAATATACAACACTTGATGAATGTGCCATCATGAACCAATGATAAAATGAATTGGGCATTTCATTGTATTTTAAAAATCAGTATTGGAAACCTGTGTGTCACTCACTACTTTTAGCAAAATGAGAATGAAAACATGTAAGAGCCTTTCCATTTTCTGAGTAACAAGCTGGTAATGATTTGATAAGAGCAAATTGCATGTCCCTCAAAGATGCTGATTGTATCTGTATAGGAGGCAGAGGGTGCCTTTTGTTATATTTTACTAAAAAAAAAAAAAAAAGTAAAGTTGTATACTTGAGCTTTTCTAATTTCTTAATACTAATTTTATCCATGAAAACAAATATTGTTTTAGAACCTATCTCAGTGGAACTGGGATTCCGAAGAACTTGCTACTGAAAATAAAAGTCTCCCATCTGGAAAGGACAGTGTGGCAGGTGGTAAGAAGTCCCAGATGTATATATTACACCACAAGAATTGCTCAGATTTAGATTCCTAAAATTTAACTTGATTTGTAAAACTACTGACATTTTTTTCCATATACATTCTTTCAGGCAAAACTAACAAGGTAAGGATGTTTGGTGTAAAATAATTCATAAAACATACCATTGAAAAATATTTGCTTGAACTTTAAATTTTTTTTCTTCTTCAAGGCTGAACTTGAAATTGTCTTTCTGAAGAGTTCTTAAAACAAGTCAAAACCTTTACCATTTTACAGAGTTGCAAATTGGTCATTAAATTACAATTTTGGGTGGGTCTGGTAATACATGCCTGTAATCTGAGGTACTTGGGAGGCTGAGGCAGGAGGACGGCAAGGTCAAGGTCTGCCTGTGCTACAGAGGGAGTTCAGGGTCAGCTTGGGCAGCTTAGTGAGACCCCGTCTTAAAAGGAAAAGTGAAAACATGGTAACGTGCTTAACACATGCAAGGCCCTGGGTTCAATCGCCAATGTCACACACACACACACACACACACACACACACACAAAAAAAAAAAGAAAAGTCGTATTTTTTTACAGTAACTTTTTTCAACACAGCAATGTTGTAAACTGAAGTTGGCATTGTAGCAAATACAGTGTTTTCTAGTCATTGCCAAATAGAAAATAGCCTCTGCCCTTAAGGTGTCTTGAAGCATGTAATAAGGTTAGTATTCTCTTTTGAACTAGTGAAATTAATCTTTTCATTTACCCTTTGTATTCGTGTTAAACGTTTAAGTGTAAAATAAAGTTAATGTCTAAGTCTCACTAATTAACAATGTTTAGTTAGTATTTATAGATGCTACTAAATTTCTGCTGAAGTCAATAGTAACTGGAAGTATATTAGACTTTACTTAGGACATGAATAGTAAACAGAGCTGTGCTGTATTCAAGTCTTCTGCTGTCTGGTAGAACCATTTGGAAATCCCAAAAGAACAGCTGATGCTGGAGCTGAATGTGTCAGAGCTCACTCACATTAGAACACAGGTGGGATTTTTATTTCTTACACTCTTCAGTTACTGGTTTTTAAATTCATGCTGTTTCTAAAACACTGTGTGGTTTTTGTATTAGCAGACTATTAACCAAGGGGTATTTCAGTTATGGAATTATCCTCTTAATAAAGGAAGTACTGCAGAAGGCAGGCGAGGAAACATTTATATTTTTAATACTTTACTGAAATACATTTAAATATAGATGGGTTAACTACTTGAAATACAAGGATCAAACACAACCAGAAAAAAAGATGTGCCAATGGGAAATGACAGAAATTCACCCTAAATAGCAAGTGACCACAGACACAAGATAGCCAGTATATGTGTAAGAGTTTTGCGTTCACTTTGCTCTTACAGTGAGGCTTAGATGGATAGAGCTGGACCTCGCATTGAAAGGAAAGGAAATGTGGTAGAAAAGTACAGTTCCCTGTGCCAGGAACTACTTAACTCCCTCCTCCCCCTACACATACTCTCATTCACACAAGGCTGACAAGGTTGTTGTCATCTCTCCTTTACAGATGAGGGCATTGAGGCTTGGTGACAGTTAAGTAATTTGCCAAGGTCACATAGTAGGTGGTAGACTAGGGTGCAAAACATAGCTTGGTTCATGTTCCCAGTCACTGTAGTCTCTCTTGTAAGACCTTCTTTGGTTTGAATTCTGATTTTTCAGTTCATTATATTTTGCATTAGCAGCTAAACTGCATCTTAATAATGCAAATTAGTAATGTTTGAACATGACCTTTTACTGAGCACTGCTTTGTGCCACTTTATGTGCAGTGTTGATTAGTTAAGGGGTTCCTCAGTTCTTTTCTTCTTGGATCCAAGTGTAACAATATGGTCAGAGGACTTTCCTCTCCCCAGGCTAGAGCTGGCTTTGTGTTAAAACTCAAGGGGAAAACGAAGAAGTGCTAAAGGAACTGTAGGGACTAATGTCCTAAGGGAAGGGTGGCGCTGATGGATATAGGAAAGTCTATTTTCATGAGAGAAAACTCTGCTAGGAATAAGAATTTCAAGGGTAGGGGTCAAATGAAGGTAGCAGAAGTTTCTCATAGGAACAAAGGTCAAGTGTGACAGTGCCATGCAATGCTGAGTCATAGCATGAGGTCCCACCGCTCAGATATGTAGCCTCACCACACTCTACCTCAGCTTCCTTAGCTGTGAAAGGGGGAAAATAAAGAGCCTCACTCTGACTTGCTGTAAATAGTCTGTCAGCTTTTGTTGTAGAGACAGAAGTTTGTTATCAATGAAATATTTTGCTAGAATTTTCTCCTCAATATACCATCAACAAGTAAGAAAAGTAACAGTAACTTAGTGTTTATAAACACACTTCACAGGAACATTCTCAGCACCTGTTCTGCTTCTCAGACCTGCTGAGTGAGCACTGCTGTTTCCACACTGCCCCTCACTGATGGTGAAGACTTCTCTCCAGATTTCCCTCTCCTATTCCACTACCCAGGCTTCTGTCTGTTAACAATTGTAGATTTCAAATGGCTTCCGGTGCAGTTTCAAAGGGAAGGTGATATTCCTAGTGTTTATCTAAATGAACATTTAAATCGCTTTCAAAGTATTTTTCCAAGTCCTAGATTATACTATTTTTTTTTGTCTTTTTGAAGCAGGGTCTCCCTGTAGCCTCAGCTGTCCTGGAACTCACTATGTAGACCAGGCTGGCCTTGAACTCACAGAGATCCGCCTGTCTCTGCCTCCCAAACTCTGGGATTAAAGGTGTGTGCCACCACGCCTGGTCCCTGATTATACTATTTTTATTCAAAATTGGCCCTAAATGAATTGAGAAGCCTTGACGACTTTACATGTCAACTAAGTGCATCAAATCTTTGTGTTAGTATTTCTAGTTACCTTTTATTTCATTAATTTTTAAAGATTTTAAAACATTTTTATGTGTGTGATTTGCCTTCATGTACATAAGTGCACCACATACATGCAATGCCCACAGAGGCCAGAAGAGGGTGTAGGATCCTCCTGAACTCCCCTGAAGTTACAGATAGCTGTTGGCCATGTGCATGCTGGGAACCAAACCCAGGTCGTCTGGAAGAGCACTCAGTCCTGTTAACTGCTGAGCCCCCTTATTTCATTTTTCAAGTGTGTCTTTAAGGAGTCTCACTATGTTGTCAAGATTGGACTCAAGACAAAGCTCTGTGTGCCTCAAGTTCCTGAGTAGCTGGGTCTACAAGTGTGTGTCACTGCTACCTGCTCTCTAGGTATTTTTAAAATAAACAACAATAAAATGAAATCCAACTAGAAACTTAGTATCTTATGGCCTGGTATTCTTTTTCCTTCAGTTTTCTGTATTGCTTTTGCAGTATTATTTTAATATAATGCCTAGAAATATTATTCCTAAAAGGACATCATTAGAAAATTACCAGGAACTCTATCTGGGACAATTTTTGTGTGGCACTGTTGAGTTCCTTTTTTTTTTCTAAAATGATTTTTTAAGAACCACAGTATTTGCCATAGAAGTCTTTGTTAAGTAACCCTTACATTTTAAAAAGTTTCATCCAATGCTAGGTCACTAAAGACTTCACTGTCATTTCAGTCTGGTCATTCTCCGTTTTAGAGATCATAACTGCATGTACAATATAGGCAAACAGACACAATTAGTGACTTTTAACCTAGTGCTACTCAGAACTAGTCATTTTCAGGCATCATACAGATAATTAGCCACTTTAAACAATCAGTATTTAATGTATAAGAAATTTATATAGTTGTATCTAATTTAAGCATAGTTGGAAATCACCATTTCTGTTACAGGTAGCTAGATACATGCATGCTACTGGGGACTAAACGACCAATCTTTGATAGAAGTTACTTGTATAATTTAATAGCATTTTCATTCTAGTCAACAGACCACTCATCGATTAAATGATTTTTTAAAGGAAATTCAAAAAATCTTCAGTTGATTCTGGCTTCAGTGCAGCCAAATATCCCAGGCTCTTCACTCTAAACCACTCATTCAGAAGTATTCCAGGGCTGATAGAAACTAAGCAAGTTGGTTCTTACCCTGGGCAGTTTGCAGCAGGTCTCTGCTGGCCCTGTGCTGATGGAGACTTTCTTAAGGATAGAAATGACTTTCATCACAACTTCTCTTCAACTGTGGAAAACGATGGTGACAGTTTATTTGCACCAAATTGGAATGTGAAATACAGAAACAGAAGTATAGAAGAAAATGTCACAGATGAAAGAGATTTATCAGAAAATAAGAAAATGAATGATACTTTGCTCAACTATTTTTAAAAAATGGACACTATCTTAAAGCCAGAAACAATAGAACACGTTGAGAGATCATTCACAGAGGACTCGAATGAAGTATTTATATATGCTGACTTTCTCCCCCATCCTTTCAACACTCTGGACTTGCACAGATTTGCCTTGTCAAAATATGAAAACTGTAAGATGGCCGTGGACCCTCCAGAAGCCTCCACTGAGCTCCTGATAAATCGCTTACTGGAACTGAAAAGGTTACAACACATGACCATACAAAAAGAGAAGCTAAGACTATCTAGCACTTCCTCAACACCAGTGATTTCAGCTTCGGAACAACCCTCTTCCTCAAAAGCCATCATACTGAAAACCAGGCAGCTGAAACTTCCTGACTCTTTGACTCCACCAACATCTGGTGTAGATAAAAGTCAGGACAAGAGAAAAACCAATTCTGGTTCTGGCAAGCTAGAGCAATACACTTCCAAATGGAATTGGAACACTGCCGGCAAATGTAAATCGAATTCTATATCACCATCGCTAAAATGCTCATCCGCTGCAGAACAGTGTGCTCCAACTCACAATGATTTTAAGAACCCCAAAAGCTCCATTTTAAATCCTTGCCAGGAGCTCCCACCCAAGCCTACGGCTGCCCAAACAACTCAATCACTGGTGAAAGTGCTCTTGACAAGATCTCACCCACCAAGGTCCCCGATGCCAGTATCACCTATACCCTTGTCTTTCCCTGAAAACCTGAAGGAAGAAATTTAGGCACCCAGGAACAAAAAGAAACTTCACCGAAAAAGCATACTGCTAAATAGAACATTCTCCATTCAGAAAGAAAGCAGAATTGCTTATTGCCTTCATTCATAGCTAAGGGCAAGTGTTCACCTGTTGACCAAAAGTAACATTTTTCTTCCATGCTTCCCAGTGTGAGCAACTTCCAAGAAACCCAGCTAAAATATGGTTCATCATTGAGACACAAGTATTAGAAACAAAAACAACCCCACCCCACAAAATAATCCTGATATGATGTGGCCTGGAACATGTGAATGTCCCTGCTGAGATGTATCTTACATCCAAGGGCTTCCTTGGGGACCGATCTGATAACCTTTTACATGTTTTTACTTCAAAGAAATGTCTCGGGAAAGCAAACTATTCCGATGACTGTTCTTTTGTAGTGATTGTATTCCAGTAAATTCCATCATCAATAAATGGTAGAACTGACTTACTGCTGTTATTCTTTTATTTTGTACAGTGTTACTTGTAATTCATTGACTGGTAGATTATTTGATTTACGATTTACAATTTTTATTGCACCAAGGAAGGCGGAAAACAAAGCAGAGCCCTGGCTTCTGCTGCCGACTTCCTGAAGCACAATCTTTGGGAGTAGGACCCATGTTCTGTAATCAACACAACAACTTTGGGAAATGATGTAACATTTGACATTTGATGTAACAGGGCAGAGTCTGGATGTTTGAGAGGACAGTGCAGCATGAGCTTTGAAGTGGATGGGAATTCAAATTAGTTGACTGGTAACACACATTGACTATTTCAGACACCACCAAAGGTGCCAAATGACATAACTGCACACCCCACCCAACTCTGCTGTATGTATAGACAGCTATTTTTTGTGTATCATCCTCCTAAATGAGATGGAATACTGGAACTGGGAAGGATCTGATGAACTAAAAGACAATTCAAATGAATGTTCAAGAAAGTAACCGGAGCCTGTTTCCTCTTGTTTATTTTTAATAAACAAGGCTCAAATAGTTTCTTTGGAGGGCTACAAGTCACAGAAAACATGTCTAGTTTTTAGTGTGGCCACCAGGGGACAGCCAAGGACCTGAGTGGATTACCATGGAACTGGTAATTAACCAGAGAACTCACTGCTGCATACACACGAGGTCTGGTAGTACCAGCAGCTTGGCTTTTATTCTCATACTTGTGAGAATCACAGTCCCATGTCTACAGTGATGAATAATAAAACAACTTCTCATATGCGTGAGAACCACAGTCAAATGCTTACAGAACACTGAATAATAATAATATGGCTAGAATGTAACAATTCAGGAAAATAAGATGAGCACAGCAACACTATCTCTATTCTATGTCTACTTAGGTCAATGTGCTTCACAAGAAATTAGAGAACTGGCATTCTGGAGATACCTCCCCAACAAGCATTCTTGCATAAACTTTTCCATGAGACACAAGGCTCTCCAGACATACATGCTCAAAATTCAGTTTAATCCACCAAGCATGTTTTAAAAGCGATATGAACAGTATTTCACAGTCCTTCCTTACATTTTAGGTTAACTTCAAAGAATTTTTTTAAATAATATGAACACAAGAGAAAATGGCAAATATAATTTATCCATCTGCCACACACACAGTATCTGAAGTGGGTGACAATCCTTCATAGCTATAGTGCAATAATGAACTTAAACTTTCACTCAGTTCTAACTCACACAGTGACTGTTCTTGGTTCCCATCCACCATCTTTAATTCTTGTGAACAATTCCCTATAATTAAGAGTTCTGAACATTTGACTATACCTTGTGCCCTCTGTTTGACCTTTACTTTCCTGGATAGTTGTTTCCTCCCTCACCTTTAGTTTCACAAAGTAACCTGTCAAAGATCTTTAGGAACCAACATGAGTGGTTTATTCACTACTGCATCCTAACACATTGATTTGGCAAAGGAACTTTTCCTCATCATTAGGATAATTATGCATGACATCACTGACTTATTCTGGGAACCTGAACTCAAATCCTATCACCTTACATCTCTAACAAGGAAGGCAGTTCCCTCAATCTCTGCTTTTGCGACATGAAATGGCTAGTATACCTCTGATCTCATACAGTCACAAGGATTAGTTGACTAGGATGAGCTACACGTCACATGAATACAAGAGGACAAGAGACGCAGGAAGACAGCGGCTGGAGTGAGCTATCTCTGCTCTCAGTGGAGGATGGCAATTCCCAAGGAATCAATGATGTACTTCTTGCATCAGGAACATCCCTGACAGGTACAGGGACATGACATCGATTAACTGACACAAACCTGACTTGAGGTCAGGAATGGCAGAAGGCAGAAGCTGGCAGGGAAGAACACCTCAGAGGTAGAGTCCAAACAAGATTAAGGCTGGCAGCAGTCCCACCAGAGGGGCTGCACCAGAGGACTGCTTCAGTCCTTTTGAATGTAGAATTGTTCTAGGCTTTGACAGCCTGTTAAGGGAGTTTTTTCCTTCTTCAAAATCTGGTAATTTACCTGCTAGATCATCGCATGGAAATACATAGTAAGTAGGTAGAAATAAGGATCCTAAGGGCCAGTATCTTATTGGAAATGCAACTACAGTATGTAAGTCACCACTAGATCTAAAACAGAAGCTACTGATGGGGCGATGCGGCTCAGCTGATAGCGTCCTCACCTCGTATGCAGGAAGCCCTGGGTTTGATCCCCAGCACTGCATAAACCAAGCCACACCTATAATCCTAGCACCTGGGAGGTAAAGGCAGAAGGCTCAGAAATTCAAGCCCATCCTCCACTACATAGCAAGTTCAAGGCCACCCTGGGATATATGTCTCAACAAAACAGCCAGCCAGCCATCCAACTAACCAACCAACAAATCCACACATCTCAAATACAAACACAACTATCAAAAACCAACCCCCTGGATGGTTCTGCTACAATAAAAAAATTGCTTTTAAGATGTTTAAAAATGTACTAAAAGCAATGCCATTTTCAACTACTGAGCAAAGGGACTAATACTTTTTAAAGATTAGTGAAAAAAGTTGGTGAGCTCTTTGGGCTGTGTTTGAACCCCTAAAAATGAGACCAGAAGGGGCAGATTTGTAGGCCTGAAATAACAGTCACCCAGGTTATCAGAGACCAACGGGGGAGGGAAAAGGGAAACCTAAAAGGGCAACATACATGAATCCAGTGGAAAGTAGTTCAATGCTAGGAGAAGCTGTCAAAATGAACACAAAAGGTCTAGCTACCTTTCAGGCTTGCGAGAAACCGAGTTCTGTCATTATTTTTGATGGAAGCATCTAGACAGGTTTAAAACACAAATTAATACAAAGTAATCCCGCCCAAGAAAATTTGGGATTAATTTGGCTTGCTCTAAGGTCCCAACATCCAGCTCTCATTTTCCATACTTCCACAGCTCCCCACTGTATCTTACCGAGGTTGCCTCATCAGACACACAGAAGATCTTTAGGCTTGTGACACACTCATCTTAATACATGCTGCACACCTCCTCTCAGTGTAACAGATAAAATTCCCTCATGGCCACCTAGGTAGAAAACAGCTTACAATGACAGGCCTTTACAAAATCACTCAAGAGTCTCTATAGGACCCCATCCCTTACAAAGCCAGACTCTAGTTGTCACTGGGCAGTGGTGACCTCCAGCTGGGGTGAGGCATTATGAAGACACTTTTATTCTTGTGTGCCCTTCAATTCTATTTTGCTTGTGCTACAGGTTCACACTTCTTTGTTCCTTGCTTCATTTTTTAAAAAGGCATTTCCTTAAAAGAAGAGTGAGCAGATTTGAATCTAATGGGTCTGGCTTCCCATGGCAATGAACAAACTGACTCCTGTTATTGTAGAGCTGGGATTACATCTATCACTAGGAAAACCAGAGCAGGAATATATGTAATAGAAACATGAATATAACACTCTGGTATTCGCCACTGAATGCTATTGATTTCAAAGTGGACATTTGTTGCGGGTTCTTCTCAGGCCAGCTGTGAAGACCCTGACCTGGATCGAGTCCCCTGCCGATTAGGCGGGGCAAGAGACGCGGAGTCAAGACACAGACACCAGGAGTCAGGCAGAAGCAAGTACTAGGCGAGGTGCTGCTGGCTTGTTTAGTGCAGGAGCGGGCAGGCCTTATATTTCCCTTTTCTCCACCCACAAGTCCCTTTAGTCAGCGTATTGTTTTCTGATTGGTCCACACCACGCAGTCTGTCAGCAGTCACTGGGTTCACGAGCAGGGTATGGAGGCATGGGCTCCTTTTGGCGGGCTATTTGCAGACCAAGAAGTGAAGTTAATTCTTGCTGAATCCCAGGGCTCTGAGTCTGCGCCATCTTTGGAGGCCTCCTGCTACATTTCCACACTTTTTCTTTAAAAATGACTGTCCAGCGAGAGCCTGTAGGCAGTTCTACATCGGGATGACCCCAGAATCATGGACTGTGCCTGTCTTAGGTTGTCCTATTTGGGCATGAACCTTACCTGTCATTGGAGCATGGGTGTACAGGTCCATGTCCTGGCTTAGGTTGATTCAGCCCAACAGGAGCTTACCCATCATTGACTACCAGCCCTCCAAGGGGTATTGTCCAGGGGATCAGTTGAGGTGGGGAATGATCTGTAGGAGGCCTTGTACATTTGTGCAAGCCAAGTCTGTCGGGCTGCATAGGGAGGGTTGAAATCATCTTCATGTATTGCTCTGAGGGCCTGATACACTGAGTGGTTGAATTTTTTCTGACTGGGGAACGAAGAACAAGGCATTTAATAAGTAGAAAGAAAAGAATAATTATGCCTGTCAGGAGTAGGTAAGTGATGGTCCAAGATGGGTCAAACAGTGCCTTTAGATTAGAGGCACTGCCGGCATAATCTTGGACGGTCAGGTTGAACAGCCCAATGCATGAGGATGCGTTGTTGGTAGTGAAGCATAGTTATTTAGGGGCCAGGAGCCATTGAGTGATTCCCAGGAAGTAACTGGGTCCATGGTGGGGAGGCCAAGCATAGAATTAGTTGAATAGAGGGTGGGGTAGGCCGGGGGAATGAAGTGATAAGGGCAAGAGTATAGGCAGGGAGGGGACCAAGGCCCAGAGATCATGGGCTGTGGCAGGGGTGGGGAAGAGCAAACCAGTTATCCAGATAGTGGCGAGGTCTCTGGGTCC